TCACTCTCTCACAGACGCGCCGTCGCCTCTCTCTGTCTTTTCTACAAATACTTTCATGGTAATTGCTCCGATGAGCTGCTTTCACTGGTTCCCAGACTCCATGAATTCAAGCGTCCTACGAGGCTGGCATCCCGCCCCCACCCTTACTCTGTAGAAACTTTTAAATGTAGCCGTCTCTTCTACTCCAATAGCTTCATACCTCGCACCTCTTGCCTGTGGAACACCCTTCCTAATTACTGTTTCCCTAAAAGCTATAATCTCCAACTATTAAATCGACACCACCAGTTACCTTGATCTACCCACTATCCCTCTCCTCATCCTTTCCTCTATCACTCCTATCTGCTCTCGCTCCAAATCTTCTGCAACCCCCCTGCATCCTAGTGGCTTCATGGCTTGCTGGGGGGGTGTAATGCTTAAATATATATATATATATATATATATATATATATATATATATATATATATATATATATATATATTAAAATATATATATATATATATATATATATATATATATATATATATATATATATATATTTGTCTTTTGTACAACCTGATCTGGCTCTTGTAAACGTAAGGGATAGCAGGAACCAGGTCCTAACTGGAGTGGTCCTGGGAACCGACCATTTTTACAGCATCTATGTAGGAGTTTCAATTTAGATCTGGGTTTAATTGAGGCCTGAGTTAGTCCCAGTAGGTGCTCAAGGCACGAGACCTCTCTAATGGAACACCCATTCAAGACAGTCGTTGAAGGTTTTGGGTTTGAATAACGCTCCGATTCCTGGCAAGGTTGTATTATGGAAGAATTTTATCCTATAAAATAAAAATAATAATTTATTCCTCTTAGCAGTTCCTACGGAAAAATAGTATTGATTGCATCTAATGGTCGTCTACGGGTTTTCAAGCACATCCTTCTAATATAGCCGCTAAACTATTTGCATACGCTTGCTCAGACGCATTTTTGTTTGTTCATAGAGAACCTATCTGTAGTTTATGTGGAAACCATGCTGAGCGTTTCTGGAAAAGAGCAGAGCTGTCTAGGATGGACAACCGTTTAAACAAGGCTAGTGTGCCCAAACCCTCAGTCACGATGACTTGTGACTTGCTGCTAGAACATGCATCGATGCATCGATCGGTACCATCTAGCCAGTTTTATTCACAATGCTTAAGTCTACAGGTGGTATGATTTACAACCACATTGGGGCCTCCTCCTCGAGTAACACCAAGGGTGGAATAACAACTAAGATGATATTCGTTCCCGGATCTCATGCTCGAAAGGTGAATCTTCAATTTACTCGGCCCCGCTTCCATACTACTTACAAATGTATACTAAAGCCATAAAATGAACACTTGTCATCTGCTCAGCAAACGAAAGCAGAACAACTGAATTTAAAAATTCCATTTCCCCCACCCCCAAATATACTGATGATGATAAATAAATGACAAAACGTGAAAATTTAAAAAAAATATCCCATTGTTATGAATAATCAAGAGTGGTCAAACCTTGTTTTATTAATCTCCTCTTTGAGAGACCTATTTCTCTTTACTGGGACTATAAAAGGACACTATATGCGAATCTTGTATTCTCAGTTGAATAAAGCTTTCTTGAAGCCGACACCTGAGTACTTTTGTCGTTACACCCATTTGTTCTGCATTTAAAAATATTATCCGATTTAACCCATATTTTCATCACAAATAGAATGTAAATAACGAACCTTAAATACATTCGGTGATTTAAATAAAAAGAATACCGGATTATAAAAGAACCTAATAAATTAAGATCAAATATAAATCGAATATCGATCAGAATGCAACAGAAGGATAGGATAAGGAACAAATTGGAAAGGTTTATAAATCTAACATGTATCGCTTTTAATAGCACTTCATGATGAGAATAAAAACGTGGAGGAGAAAATTAAATTCTGGTGTTTTTTATTTATTATTGCTTGTTGTCCGTTGTTTAAGCAAACATCAGGTGTTGCCAAGAAGCGTCTGTGGGTATAGTAATCATCCGTTTCTCTCCCGACTCTTTCGGTGACGACGACATCGAAGATGAAGGAGACATCCTTCCCACTGGCAACGTATATATAATGTCTATCTTTTATTCAGATAGGCGTTATTTACACAGTGCCAGTGGAAAAGATGTCTTCGTCATCTTCGATGTTGAAACTTTCTTAATAGTATGCATCCGTTCATCTCGTGAGTCATTAACTGACGTCGACATCGAACATGAAGAAAGCATCTATCCACTGAACTCGTATAAATAACGTCCATTTGTGAATTAGATAGCAGTGAAGTAGATTAAAACTTTCTGAATCTCTTTCTATAAAAAGCAGAATGTGTGTGTGTGTGTGTGTGTGTGTGTGTGTGTGTGTGTGTGTGTGTGTGACGAATGCACGGCCGCAATTTTCGACGGATTTGCACCAAAATTTACATGCACATGCTCCAAGTTAGTGAGAAGCCCAAGACCAACTTTGCATTTCCCAACTCACATCAATAGTGGAAATAATCGATTTTTTCATGCTTCTACGGCAGTTTTCATGTAGTCTGTGGCCATTTTCTACTGGCCAGAGTGAGAGCCAATAGCTGGCTGACACGAATGTTAACTAGCATGCTAGCGTGCAAAAAATATCGATAGCTGCATTCGTCACAAGTGGGAAAAATTTAAATCTGCATGGCACTTTACTCCAGTTCGCTCATTCGCTTGCTTAAAGTCTACGTTGATTCTGATTCCGCAGAACTGGGTTGGTTGTGAAAAAGTATTTGCTGTTACGAGTTCTTTTTTTTAAAGCTGATCGTTTTGTGATCATTTTGTTTAGTTCTTTTTTCGTAACCGATTTAATGTTTAGTATAGAGCTTAGAAAAATTCGCAGTATAAGATAGGCAAGAAGTAAGGCACGTAGCAACATCAGCACGGCAAAGGACACTCCTTTAAAGTTAAGGAAGGGCAAAAATATTTTAAGTCAAGTGATAGCGATTGCTGTATGAGTCGTACGATTTTTGAATCAAGCACGGGCAACGCTGGGCCATGCTGCTAGTAGAATATATCCGTTCATCCCCCGTGTCTTTGGTTGACGATGACATCGAATATAACGAAGACATCTACTCCACTGGCATTGTATAAATAACATCCATTTGTGATTTAGATAGCAAAGATAAAAACGTTGTTAATACGAGACATTCGTTTATATCGCAATTCAGTAGTTGACGCCGACATCGAAGATGACGAATATATCTTACCCATTGGCAACGTATATATCAGATAGCAGCAAAACATAGTGAAGCATTCTTGATTCTATGCATCCGTTCATCTCGGCATTTATTAATTAACATCCATAATGTCCATCTTTGATTTAGATTTCAATGATTTCTTTAGAGTATAAATCCTTTTATCTCTAGAGTTTTCGCTTCACGACGACATCGAAGATGACAAAAACATCTACTCCACTGGAAAGGTATATATAATGCCTAACGTTGATTTAGAAATAAGGGGAAAAGATTAAAACATTCCTAATAGTATGCATCGTTTTATCGCGCAAACCATTATTTGACGGCGCATATGAATATGACGTACACATCTACACCAGTGCCAACGTATATATAACGTTTATATTTATATTTATATAGCATTGACGCAGATTAATGTTAAACTACACATTCGTTTACATCGCGATTCGAAAATGACGAAGACATCTTTCCCACTGATAACGTATATATAATGCCTATCTTTATATTTAGCATTGAAGCAGATTAAAGCTTTCTTAATAATGGGCATCCGTGTACCACGAGTGTCTTTAAACGAGTATGATATCGAAGAAAACCAATAAATCTTCGCCACAGTCAATGTATATATAACGCCTGTCTTTGATTTCGATAGCGGAGAAGATAAAAACGTTGTTAATACTAGACATTCGTTTAAATCGCAATTCAGTAGTTGCCGACAACATCGAAGATGACGAAGACATCTTCCCCACTGATAACGTATATACAATGTCTATCTTTATATTTATTTTGCATTGAAGCAGATTAAAGCTTTCTTAATAATGGGCATCCATTTACCACGAGTGTCTTTAAATGAGTATGATATCGAAGAAGACCAATAAATCTTCGCCACAGACAATGTATATATATAACGTCTATCTTTGATTTCGATAGTGGAGAGGATAACGTTGTTAATACTGGATATTCGTTTAAATCACAATTCAGTAGTTGCCGACAACATCGAAGATGACGAAGACATCTTTCCCACTGATAACGTATATATAACGTCTATTTTTTATTCAGAAATTCACTGAAAACATCATGTCCTGTAATCCCTCAGAATTAACACATGATCTGATAATTTCCACTTACTAAACCTTGAACAAATATGGTAGAGATAATTCCTAAAATATAATCCTGTTATTATTGCGACTGTCCCGCCCTTCATTAGCTAGCACGACCGTTATGTCCTGTCAATACATCCCACAAATGGATTATTCCGCGTTTTGTTCATGTGAAAGAGGGAAAAAACATTAAAGGACATAATGAAGACCTCTTTGCGACTGCTTGTCCGCTGACCTGAGATGAAATAAATACAGTGAATCAATAGCTTCATCCATCGCAAGGAAAGTCGGTTCCCTGTGTCGTGCCAGAAAGTTTTTATCGCCCGAGTCCATCCTTCAAATCTAGAAATCAACCATTCGCCCTTGCATGTAATACTGCTGTCATATATGGTCTGGAGCCCCTGCTGTGCGTTTCAGGGTCCTCGACAAAATCAAGAGACGGATGTGCAATGTGATTGGCCCTGATCTGGCATCTCGTCTACAGTTTCTTTCTCACAGAGATGCCGTCGCCTCCCTCTGTCTTTTCTACAAATACTTTCACGGTAACTTTTCCGACGAGATATTTTCGCTAGTTCCCAAACTTCATGAATTTAAACATGCAACTAGGCTGGCATCTCGGTACTATCCTTTCACTGTTGAAATAGTTAAATGTGGCCGTCTCTTCTACTCCAATAGCTTCATGTCTCGCACCTCCTGTCTGTGGAATTCCCTTCCTATTACTTGTTTCCCTGATAGCAATGATCTCCAACTATTCAAATTTAATGTAAATCGACATCTCCAGACGTCCTGACCTATTCCCTGTCCTTTTCTTCAAACTTCTATCATGACTTTTTACTCTCTCTCTCTCCGACTCCCTTGCGTTCTAGTGGCATTCCGCTTTGCTTGGGGTGAAATGCTTAAAAAAAAATAAAATAGAAATGAAGCGAGAGAATCAGAGAAAACGGATAAGAACAGACACTACACTTTGATCTCATCCAAAAGGCCGGGAACGACAGCGACAAAAAGCGGCATTTTTAAGACGCAGTGTATCAAACAACAGAAACTGTAAGTCAATTGTGAAAAATTCAATTACCATAAATTAAATAAAATGACATCATCTGACCAATTAGTTTAAAATTATATTAAGAGAAATGTTCCTAACACGAGGATTTGGTGAGGAAGCAAGAAAGAACGAAATAAGGAAACATAAAAGAGTTTAACGTTCCTGCCAAAACCTCATAAATAATGTATTATTCTGTTTTAAACGCGTGAAAATAGAGGAAAAGACACTACTTGGTTTCGATTAAAATAAAGACAGGAATTTAAAATGCAGCTCTTTCTGAGCGTAGATTAGATGTGGCACAAGGCCTAATGTATGCGGCTCCCACTGAGGACCGAACTCACTACACCGTTATAATTGATCTAGCAAGAAAACCTTGCTAAGTATTACTCCACGTCGAAGTGCCCAGACATATTTAAAATTATCTAATGGCTATTTCCCTAAAATGGAAAAAGTTTTCAATTTGCAATCTTTTCGTTTGTACCCACTTCTTAAAATAATGACCAGCATTCATATTTATGATTTTAATTTCAATATTTTGTTAAAGCTGTGGAGCCCAAATATTTCTACGTATATATTATTGTCGTAAAACTTAAACGTTAAGTATTAAGATACCTCAGATATTTTAGATAGGACAACCTTGGAATATTCACGGGATTTTCTAAAAATAATAATAGTAATAATAATATAAACCTCTTTACGGTTAATATTCTGCTCCTACCAAACAAGCTGATGTAGACAAACCCCATACCCATCAGTGGCTACGTAGTGCAGGGTTGAAAGCTGAAACTGAAGGTTTTATTCTTGTGGCACAGGACCAATGCGTCTTAACTAGTTATTATCAAGCACACATTCTGAAAAATTGTGTTTGCCCAAAAGGCAGATTCTATGATAAATATCCAGAAACAACTGATCATTTTGTATCAGGTTGCGCGGCGTGACAGAGTGGTTCATTATCTGCACTGGAAAATGAAATTGGTATGCACACCACCAAGACCCGGTTACGGAGATATAAGCTATAACAATTTTATGGGGGTACACAATACACAGAGACAGAACAATCAAAGCTAATCGCCCAGACATCGTGATTAGAGACTGCAAAGACTAAAAAGCCTCTATGCATATGGCAGTCCCTGCAAACTGCAATGTATCTTTGAAGATCTTCAAAAAAACTATCAAAGTAAAAGTACTTTGAAATCGAAATCTCAAAAATGTGTAACATGAAAACATCAACAATTCCAGTTGTGTTTGGAGCCCTCAGGTTGATTGGGAAAGATTCCAGTAGACACATTAAAGGAATCCCTGGTAGCCCATGCCTTAAAGAAATAAAAAAAAAAGTAAGTCAAGTTGGCCCGTTTATGTTTAGTGCACTGGGTAATAACTCCAAAAATCTGCTTCGCCAGACGCCTTGAGGGTGCCTGACATCATTGGTCGTGTGCAGGTGGCAGTACTGCTTGGAACAGCTCATGTGCTGAGGAGGCTATCACGCCAGTAAGCTGAATGTAGGAGCTGAGTATTATCACCCGGCTTTTGATCAGGTGTTAGAAAACTTGGCAGCCATCGAGCAGAAACCATTGTCATGTCAAGTTCATTGTGCAGAATATTATCATATCGGAGACATGCTAGTAGCATTAGTGGCAGCACTGCTTGGATCAGCTGAGAAAAATTGTTTTGTCTGTAAGCTGAGGATAGGAGATGAGATATGTGCATTCTCACCCGGCCAAAACATCTAAAAGTCGGAGAGAATATCAAATAATAATAATAATATGATATTGTTACCTTATTGACGTTGTCTGTCAGATTCCCTCAGGAAAGAAGAAAAGGAAATGAGAACTATAAAAATTCATAGTACGAAATCAAAAGAATAGGGAATTGACAAAATACAGAGATTGT